CACCACAATCAGCACACAAGAATACAGGACAGTGTAACCACAATCAGTAGTGGTACACGCACCCACACAGAACTGCTGATACTGCTGCTGCTGTCTGCATCACCCTTCTTGTTGTTTGCGAGTTCAGGAGGAAGGGTTGTTGTTGTTGTGGTGGTGGTGGTTGATTCCTCATTAGTGGATGTATTGTCAGTTTCAGGGTTCGTACTCGCTGAGTTATTCGTTGATGTCTCTGCAGAATTACCACCTTCCGCAGTTCCATCAGTTTGAGAAGATGCAGAAGTAGGAGATGATTGTGTACCTGTACCTTCTCCACTTGCTGCACTGGTGTTGACTGCGCTACTGTCATTGGATGTATCACCAGTTTGTTGAGGTTGCTGTGGTGAAGCTTCTTTATTTGAGTTGTGTGTCACCACAGACTTTGCATCTTTACTTTGTATTGGATCTTGACTGCTCTCTTGCCGCTGTTGAATTCCTTGACCCGTTCCTGCAGAGTCCATTTCTCCCCCTGCAGCATCCTCTGCAGCACGTTCCCCATTCTCCCTCCCGTGTTGAGGAGTAGTTCGGTGAGGAGTACTGACTTCAGCTTCACGACGGGGATCACTCGCCTGAGAAGGTAGGCCACTACCGCCAGCACCCGGCTGATGACCACCTTCAGACTGATTCTGATGACCGTGGGTGTTAGGGTCTTGAGCACCACCAGGACCAAGAGCAGGAGCAGCAGCCTCTGCACAAGGTTTACCTACAACAGGAGTACCAGTACCCTTACGGCAATTATCACCTTGACCATCAGAGGGCTGATCAAGAAGAATCTTTGTCTCACTCTCCGTATCAGGGACTTGGTCGGAAAGATCGGCGGCAGGCACTTCTTCAGCAAGGACGTGCACACACGCACATGAGAGCAGGAGAGCGAGGATACACAGCACGTAGCGCATCATTACCATTACAATACTTCTTGTAGTAGTCTTACTTCAATCGCTTACAGACAAGAAAAAAACAGATAGAAAACCAGAAACAAAGTAAATCAATGGAAAAAAAAAACACAAGATGAAAGCACATACCAACTCAAAAAACCCTCACCAATTACAGCAGAAGCACACACATATGAACAAAAGCTGCAACCATAACTCATATATTGGCCCAAATAAAAGTAAAAACGCATACAATACCCAACAACAAACAGATAATCCCAATAAACCCCCTCAAGAAAAAAAAAGAAATTAAAGAGAACGACCAACAAAAGCAGGCACGGCAATAAAGTCAGAATGCCTCTTCCTGTAGGACCAAGCAGAATTACAAATATACTTATGTATTCCTTATTATTTTTTTCTCCCCACAAAACCATCCAACACACAACAATGCAGGAGAAAGCACACAGTGCCCAAGCAAAGAAAACGAAAAAAAAAAAAAATTAAGAGCAGAACAAATCACACAAAAATAATTCACAGACCACTGAGTATGCTGGTCTGTTCAAGCACATAAGAATACAAATTGTATTAACTACTATTTTTTTCTTTGTTCTGCATAAAACAGAATACCAAAACCGTACAGGGCAAAAGCACAGAATGACCCAGCAAACCACAACCAAAAAAAACAAAGGAAGAATATTATTAATTAGCCCAACGTGCCCAATAAACATAGAAATATACCAACTATGGGTGTAAGTGTATATATATATATATATATATATATATATATGTTTATACGCAATTATAAATAAAAATTCATCTCTTATTATTATTTCTTTTTTTCCACTGCAAAAAACAGTTCATCATCATTATTACAGTGCAAGCCCAGGCACACACACAGTGAGTGTCCAATAAAACACACAATACCCATGGCTCTAGTTTATGTATGAAGTTACTGCACACACACATATGTGTGTACTAGCAAGAGATGTATACCGTCAGTGAGCAGAACAGCCCAGTTTTCTGCAAACACACAACGGGAAAAGCAAGTAATGAAATTATTAGAAAAAGAACACACACACAAAAAAAAAAGTAAAAGAAAAAGAAATTCGAATTAAAAGAGAAAGCAAGTAAACAGATTATTAGTTTTTTCACCCATGGGGTATATACGCAATTATGATTATGTTAGTTTAACCATTATTATTATGTGCCCTCAAGTGAGTCCCACCGTTCAGTACACGGTAGCGGAGAACAACACAGCCATAATCAGCAGCGGTGCTGCAGTGCGCATCCACATAGGACTGACACTGCTGTCAACATTAGCCTTTTTCTGCAAGGTGGAAGCAATGCTGCTGATCTCTGCGTTAGGCACAGGTGCAGGAGGAAGTGTTGTTGTTGTTGTTGTGGTGGTAGTGGTAGTGGTAGTGTTTATGCTGACCGTTGAATCAGCATTCTCATTCTCCTGTAAACCTTCTGCGGCAGTCGAACCTTCAGAGGATGGTTCCTGGGTAGTATTAGAGTTGGTGGCAGCAGCACTTGGAGTTACAGTAGATTGGTTACCGGAATTACCATCATTGTGTGCAGTACTCTCCGCTGCTGGATAAGATTGCTGCAAAGCACCACCAGGATTAACAGAACTGTTATCTGGGGATGTTTTAGCCTCAGTTTGTGGTAAGGTTTGTTTGGAACCAATATCTTCAGGTGTTTGTGTGCCATTAGTTGTTTTTAGTGCTGTTTTCTCTGTTCCTGTAGCTGCTGGAGAAGATTGCTGCAAAGCATCACCATGATTGCCATTACTGTTATCAGTGGAGTTTGCCGAGTCAACTTGTGGTACTTTTGGATGGGAATTAACACCTTCAGATGGTTGTGCGCCTTTATGTGTTAGTGCTGTTGCCTGTTTTCCTGTAGCAGCTAGAGTCCCACTCCCTGCACCGTGACCTTCTGTGTCAGCTTGTAATTCTTGTGTTCGCGCGACTTCTTCTACTGCCTCTTCTTCTCCATGCAATTTTAGCGCATCTGGCTTCTTCTTTTCTTCTTTTATTTGGTCAAGTAGTTCTTTTGCCCTTTCAAAGGTAAGCTTTTCTCCCTTGCGCAACTCCCAATGTTTCTGTTGCACTTTTTCCCAATCACTAGAGTTAATGCGTTTCTCCGGATCAAATTCATATTGCCAACTTCCCATAAAAGCCATCACCGCCTTTGGCTGTCCATTAGCAGTAGTAGTTGTTGTTCTTGTTGCTGCTCTTGCGGTACGCTGGCGGCAGAGGTCTGCGTACTTCCCACATGCAGACACACGGCTGCCCGCACCGCATGTAAGCCACTCGCTCTCAGCAGCGGGGCGTACACGCAGCGCACCGCCGGCCCCGCACGACACCTCCACAGCCCCACGGGATACACCACGGCCACTGGGACTGTCATTATCAACAGCAGCAGCAGCCGCCATGGTATACCCGCAGGCACAGCACAGCACAACGGCCAACACACACATCACACGGCCCATCATCATCATCATCATGAGAGAGACAATAGTTTGTTTCACGTAAAAACACTGATCTAGAAAGAAGGAGAATAAAAAAGAAAATGAAATGAAGTAACAAACATGTTAGGACATACAAATCGATTACCACTATAGAAACTAACATCACAAAAGAAATACACACCATTTAAAGAATGCAATACAGCGCAAAAACACCTCAGTAAGAGTAAAAACAAAAACAAAAAAAGCCCACACTCACAAATATTTCAAAAAAGGGCTGAACCACCCAGCAAAATCATCAAGCAAACAAAGAGAATTAAATATTTGTGCCCAATTTACACAGTAAACACAGAAATATACACCAACTATGAGTGTAAGTCTATATATGTGTGTATATACGCAATTATAAATTCATCTGTTATTATTATTTCCTTTTTCCACTACAAAAAACAGTTCATCACTATTATCACAGTGCAAGCCCAGGTGCACACACACAGAGAGTCTCCAAGAACACACACACACACACAATGGAGTAGCAATAATAATTATAGGATAAACACAGAGAGAGCAAAAACACACAATACACACATTAACATTAAGAAACAAAAAAAGAAGAATATCCCAACAGGTGGAAGATTAGTTAGACTGTAGGGATTGCATGCAAAAAAGAAAAAAAAACAAAGGATGACCTGAGTCACACCACAATCAGCACACAAGAATACAGGCCAGTGTAACCACAATCAGTAGTGGTACACGCACCCACACAGAACTGCTGATACTGCTGCTGCTGCTGTCTGCATCACCCTTCTTGTTGTTTGTGAGTTCAGGAGGAAGTGTTGTTGTTGTTGTTGTTGTGGTGGTGGTGGTGGCAGTAGTGGTTGATTCATCCTTACTTGGTGGAGTGGAATTGTCAGTGTTAGCATTATTACTCTGAGCGTTGTGCTCCTTTTCCTGACTCCCTTGTGTGTTGACTGACGATATTTCCTGTGCCTGCGGACTTGGGGTCTGTAGGACTTCAGAATTTCCATTGGGATCACTGGGAGATTGAGCAACAGGTGTTACTTCAGGTTTTTTATCTGGTTCCTCTTTTGCATTTTCACCCTGTAGAGGATTGATGATACTTGTTTGTGATAATTCCCTCCTTTCATTATCACTTTGTTTCTCACCATTATCGCCCTTGTTAACTTGGGAATCCAAACCATTCACACCGCCAGCACCTTGGGCTAGGTTATCTGAAATGGCAGGAGGCGGTGCAGAAACTTGATCGTGTTCACCTTTTGAGCTTATTAATTTACCTGCGTTTTCACTTTCCAATTCTCGTTGAATTTCACCACCTACCTGCTTTGGGTCTGAACCACTATCTGGACCACCAGGACTAACGGATGTATTGTCCAAGGATGAATTCGAACCAGCAGCACCATCTCCATGCGCAGAACCATGTTCCGTATCCCCACCATTGTGTTCTTCCTTCACACATTGACAATCAACATCACCTTCCTTTTCATCACCAGCACAGATAATAAACGCAGTAACGGCGCGACGAACAAGAGAAGGAACACCAATAGAAGAAGGTTTAATAAGGGCATCAGAAGCTTTAGGACTATCAGCCCATACTAACCCACAGGCACAACACAGTGCAAGAGTTAATAAACAGAGCAGATAACACCTCACCATTACAGTCTTTGCCATTGTTGTTGTATACTTCAATAGACTAATACAAGGAAGAGAGAGGAACAGAAGGAAATAATTGAGATGGAAACAAACAAACATACACCAATACAATAAATACTCACAGTGGGATAGAGAGAGAGAGAGAATCAACAGCACAGTAAGCAAGAAAAAGGAATATTCCGCTTGTATGATAATACGTACCCTTAATAGAAAAAAAAGTGAACAGCCCACAATACCCAAATAATAGAGAGCCAAACACACACACACACAATACTCCACGGCTCTAGTTTTTGTATATTAAATTACTGTACACACACATCTGTGTGTACTAGCAAGAGATGTATACCGTCAGTGAGCAGAACAGCCCAGTTTTCTGCACACACACACAACGGGAAAAGCAAGTAATGGAATTATTAGAAAAAGAACACACACACACATAAAAGTAAAAGAAAAAGAAATTCCAATTAAAAGAGAAAGCTGGTAAACAGATTATTAGTTTATTTCACCCATGGGGGATGCACGCAAATATGATTATGTTAGTATTAACCATTATTATTATTTGACCTCAGATGAGTCCCACCGTTTAGTACACGGTAACGGAAACCAACACAGCCACAATCAGTAGCGGTGCTGCAGTGCGCATCCACACAGGACTGATACTGCTATCAACATTAGCTTTGTTCTGTAATCCGGAGGCGATGTTGCTGCTTATCTTTGTGTCGGTCACAGGAGGAAGTGTTGTTGTTGTTGTTGTTGTTGTGGTGGTGGTGGTGGTGGCCGTTGAATTAGAATTGCCATTCTCCTGTGAACCTTCTGTGGAAGTCGCACCTTCAGCTGCAGAAGACTGCTGGTTAGGATTACCATCACCGGCTGCAGTGTTATCAGATGTGTTGCTCGGTGTTCCTTGGTGTTCTTGTGGTAGCGTATTAGACTCTTGATTTTGGTTTTGTGTTGTAGTCGCATCAGCATCTGTAGGGGATGGCACATGGGTAGAATTATGGTCGTGGTTTGTACTATTATTCCCGTTGTTACTTGAATCAGGTTGGTTGTCTTCTGATGCTTTATTGGGTTCCTGAGTTTGGTTTTGTGTTGTAGTCGTACCTGTTACTGTTGTGTTTCCTTCGACTAAATTATTTGTATGAAGTTCTGATGCAGAATTCTCAGAAGAGGACACAGTATCACCAGTAGTTTTTTCAATTCTGAGTGAAGGTGGTGTCTTCTCTCCTTTCGCATCCAGAGACTTGGCTTTAGCCTTTTCCTCCGCAATAATGTCATTAATTTCTTGTTCAGTCTTTGCATCATAAGGAAACTCACCACCCGTAGGATAGAGATCACCCACCTTCTTTTGCAGTGCAGTAAGATTAGAAGGATATGATGATTCTTGTTTTTCCACATTTTTTGTATCTTAAGAAACGCCATGACCAGGAGAAACAGTGTTATGACCAGACAACTCTTCAGGAACTCTACCATGTTGTGTAACAGCTTCGGACGCCTGTACTTGACTTTCAACTCCACTGTTACTTTCAGAATTGTTCCTTACAGAGGATTCTTTATATCCCAACAATTCAGTTCCCTCACCGTCTGTTAGGTTGTTTGTATACGTACTGTACACAACATCGTCCAATATTGCCATCACCGCCTTTGGTTGTCCATTAGTAGTAGTAGTAGTAGCAATGGTTGTTGTTGCTCTTGCGGTACGCTGGCGGCAGAGGTCTGCGTACTTCCCACATGCAGACACACGGCTGCCCGCACCGCATGTAAGCCACTCGCTCTCAGCAGCGGGGCGTACACGCAGCGCACCGCCGGCCCCGCACGACACCTCCACAGCCCCACGGGATACACCACGGCCACTGGGACTGTCATTATCAACAGCAGCAGCAGCCGTCATGGTATACCCGCAGGCACAGCACAGCACAACGGCCAACACACACATCACACGGCACATCATCATCATCATGAGAGAGACAACAGTTCGGTTTGCGTAGAAACACTGATCTAGAAAGAAAGACAATCAAAAAGCAAAAAAAAGAAAAATAACTGAAGTATCAAACATGTTAGGACATACAACTCGGTTACCACTATGGAAACTCACATTGCAAAAGAAAAACCCACCAGTTAAAGAATGCAATACAGCGCAATAACCTCATTAAGAGTAAAAACAAAAAAAAAAAAACGCCCACACTCACAATCATCTCAAAAAAGGGCTGAACCACCCAGCAAAACAAACAAGCAAATAAAGAGATATTAACCATTAGCTCAATTTACCCAGTAAACACAGAAATATTCACCAACTATGGGTATAAGTCTGTATATGTGTATATACGCAATTATAAATATAAATTCATCTGTTATTATTATTTCCTTTTCTTTCTCATTGCAAAAAACAGTTCATAATCATCATCACAGTGCAAGCCCAGGTGCACACACAGAGAGAGTCTCCAACAACACACACACACACACACACAATGGAGTAGTAGCAATAATAATAATTATAGAATAAACACACAGAGAGAGCAAAAACACACAAAACACACATTAACATTAAGAAACAAAAAAAAAAAGAAATCCCAACAGGTGAAAGATTAGTTAGACTGCAGGGTTGCATGCAAAAAAGAAAAAAAACAAAGGATGACCTGAGTCACACCACACCACTACTAAAATCAGCACACAAGAATACAGGCCAGTGTAACCACAATCAGTAGTGGTACACGCACCCACACAGAACTGCTGATACTGCTGCTGCTGTCTGCATCACCCTTCTTGTTGTTTGCAGGTTCAGGAGGAAGTGTTGTTGTGGTAGTGGTAGTTGTTGTTGTGGTGGTGGTGGTGGTTTCTGTATTTCCTCCCGCATTTGGGTTGTTTGATGATTCACTCTCAGCAGATATAGTGCCATTCTCAGGTGTTGCAGCATCAGAACCAACATCACTCCCTGTGGCCGAATTGTTGGAAGGAGAAGAAGGTTGTGCTGTTTCATCTCCCTGTTTAGATCCACCTTCTTCGGCTGCACTGTCCACATTGCTTTCAGTTTGACCGTCAGCGGCAGGAGCACCGCTACTACTCCCCGCAGCGGGAGAAGAAGCAGCATCTTGTGTACCGTTTCCACTTTGAGTTTCCCGAGTTTCTGGTTCACCAGGAGGAAGAACAGCAGGTGCTTCAGCACGATCCTCTTGTCGTCCATCAGTATGAGAACCCTGGTCAGTTACAGGACGACTTGCAATTGTAGGACCTTGATGTTCGCCACCATTAGTTCCACGATTTTCATTTGAGTTAGCATGAGCCGCGTCTTGTGGTGTGGGTTCACAAGGAGACTTACCAGAAGCGCAATTCTCTTGAGTCTCATCAACATTGCTAGGACAACTATCCTCCCCAGAAGATTCCGCACAATCCTCACGAGCAGCTTTAGGTTTACTAACCGTAGGAGTACACGTAGTACCACTCTCGCCTGGAGGACAAGCTCCACCACCAGGTGGTGTTGGTGGTGGTGGTGCAGCAGGACGAGCAGCAGCAGAACAACCACTATCATCTTCTTTGCAAGCGGAATCAGCCTGAACACCAGGTTGAGTCTGTGCAGTGGCCAAACAGAGAGACTCAACACACACAAGCAAAGCGAGATAAAACAACACACGGTGCACAATCATTGTTATAATAATTAAAAATACACTCTGAGTTTACTTGGCCACAGAATCAATGACAAATCCAGAAAAAACACCTAGATGAAATCTAATAAAAGGGAAATAACAAATATTACCCAGAATTAAGAAGAAACTCCCAATCAATAAAAGAGGAAAAAAAGAATCCAAGAGCACAATGACCAGGACCAGAAAACACACAAATACGTTTCTATGGATACACTTTGCAGGGTATACGCACTCATGATCAAAGAAGTACCTGTTACTCTTTTACCTTACTCAGCACAAAAAAAATCAACACCAAAAAGGTTCAGGGAAAAGCCCATAACGACCCAGCAAACCATAAGCAAATAAAAAGAAAGTTTCAATTAGCCCATCGTACCCAGTAAACACAGAATTTTATACCAACTATGGGTGTAAGTTTATATATGTGTATATATACGCAATTATAAATATAAATTCATCTGTTATTATTTTTCTTTTCCTTCCCACTTCAAAAAAAAGTTCATCATTACAGTGCAAGCCCAGGTGCACACACATAGAGGGAGTCTCCAAGAACACACACAATGGAGTAGCAATAATAATAATTATAATTATAGGATAAACACACAGAGAGCAAAAACACACACAAAACACAATAACATTAAAAGAAACAAAAAAGAAAATCCCAACAGGTGGAAAATTAGTTAGACTGTAGGGATACATCCAAAAAAGAAGAAAAGAAAACAAAGGATGACCTGAGTCACACCACCACACCACCACTACAATCAGCACACAAGAATACAGGCCAGTGTAACCACAATCAGTAGTGGTACACGTACCCACACAGAACTGCTGATACTGCTGCTGCTGTCTGCATCACCCTTCTTGTTGTTTGTGAGTTCAGGAGGAAGTGT